AGCACATGGTGTAGTCCAAACGATAGCTGGGGATTCTGGGTAGTGTCTTCTGCCATCCTTTACTCCGAAAAAATATTTGTTTCTCCGAATCGAAGGGGAAAAATACAAAAGCATTGCACACAATTTAAACCAATCAATGTTGTGTAATTAACAAGGATAATCTGGTGTTTTTTAGTCGATGAGTAGTGCAGATATCACTGTAAAATCAATCGACAGTAAGGGGAATACTTACTTCCGGGTGTACAATTATCCGTTATCCAATGAGAATGGACGCTCACATTGCCTTTAAGGGCAGCCGACACAAACGAATGCCGTGCTTCCATGAGCGTCAAATCCCGCCGCAGAGGGAATACATTGCAATCAGTTGAAAGCTATTTATGAAGCTGAAGGAGCCTAGGAGCGTCACAACTGCACGCCACGGACACTGACCAAACGTCGCTCCTGGACGATTATGGAGTGAGAGTGTGTTGGCTAACCCTAACCCTAGCCCAGGGGTCGGCAACCCACGGGCCGCATGCGGCCCTTTAAGCCCTCTGCTCTGGCTCCCTTGAGCTTAGACAAAAATAAGAAGAAAATAAAAGTATTTGTAGGACTATTTATATTTTGTTGCATGGTTGAAAATGTTTCGCATCTTGTATTTTGAGGTGATACTGTGACACATAAATAAAAAACAAAACGGTTTTAATTAGGTCAACTAAAATATGCGTCACATCCAGCTACGGTCCCGCGCGAGTGCCTTTTCTTGGAGGCGAATAACCTGACCTCCGGCTCGATGAGCGAACTATGGATAAATCAAAGAAAAGTACCGGAGGAACACAGGATTTAATTCTGTGTGGACAGAGTTATATGCTTTCACAGCAAACGATGCTGGTTTACCGGTATGTTTGATATGTAGAGAGAAGTTGTCAACGGTGGTGCAGCCTTTACGTATCGAGGAACAACACGGGAGAGGAAGACAGCTGACGATCTTCCGTCATAATTCAATGGGGTATGTAATTTATTTCAGAAAACACTTTTTGTTATATTCCATGGAATGCTCTTAACGTCCCGATAGCAATGAATATATTAAATGCTTTGACAATAAATACATACAAAAATGAATCTCTGGAACCCGTAGCGCTGTAAAAAGCACGACCAATCATCTGAGCCGGCCCGGCTAAAATAACTGGATGGCCTAACTGCCTTGTCAGCCTTCCATCTGTGCACAAACTTATCTCGTGCCCTCATTGGTCATGTGCACGTTCGTGTGTGTTGGAGGAGGGACTCTGTAAGAAAGTCTGAAGGAAGAGGCATATTTTTTCCGGTTGTGTACTTTCAAATTCTAGCGCACTCGAGCTGGTTTCTCCATTCTTACCTACCCTACCTTTAACTCTTTTTAGGGTGCAGCTATATGTTTTATTTATTTCAAAGTGGGCCCATTTTAATCATATATTTTTTTCCTTCAAATGTGCAGAGGACTCCCAAGTGCTGTGTTTAATTTATTTTAAAGTAGGCCTGTGTATTATTTTTAATTCTCCTTATAAGAGTTATTTGTTTCTTATTAGAGGTTAACAGTTTTATATCATGTAATAAATAGCCTAATAAATGCAAAAAAACTGTTTTTGTCTGATATAACAATAAAAACTATGAAATATGTTTTGTGGCTCCAGACAAAAAAATGTTTTGGAAAAAGGAGCAAAATGGCTCTTTTGGTCAAAAAGGTTGCAGACCCCTGCCCTAGCCGGACAGGGGATCGTGTCCGTCTCTGTGGCTTCAGGCTTGATCGGCGTTCAAATGACAGACTCAATTGGAATGGTTAGCGTTTCATGTGCACGCAAATAAAATAAAATATAAGCCAACAGAATCAACCAAGACAATAAATTAAGTGCAATACTGTCTGAATCCTGACTAGACAGCTTTAGAGCATGTCTTTCACATCAGTTTATTATTATTTATTTATTTTTCAAGTTTTTTTGTTTTTTTTTATCACGATAGATACGATATCTCTGAAAAAGCATATCGTGGAGACCTAATATCGTCACGACGATATATATCGTCATATCGCCCACCCCTAACCTATCATGCTATTTTGATGCTATAGCATAGGTCTCAGATATATAGCTTACAAATATATAAAAAAACATGTCTATGAAGTGTTTTGCTCAAAATACCAAACAGATCACCCATTCTAGCCATGCCTCATATCCCTCTATTTCACTTCCTGTTTCAAAATTGCTGATGTGGCGAAGTCCCTCCCTTTCCGGGGGAGCTCCATGGGACCTTATTTCGTAAAAATTATGTATTGAAGTCAATGGAGAGAGAGATTATCTTTCGATCCCGATTGAATTGTGCCACGAATTATACATATGATGTTTGTCAATTGAAAAGATAATTTTGCAAGTCAAAAAAATAAAAATGTGTCGTAAAACTGTGAAGTAACAATTTTTTTTGTGTGAAACGCTCAATGAACTACATCTCTGGTCTCGCAGACTCTCACAACAACACACGTCACCAAGATGGCCGTCACTACTGTCTTGTCAAAAAAGTGATTGACTACCCTCACTATAAACACAATGAAACACGTCCAGAAGAATGTCATGCAAAGCTGCCTGCCTGCCTTCCTTTGATTCTCTCTGAACTGCCTGGTCTTTTTAATGTTTAATGTCAACCATTTGTGCAGATAGCATGAAGTAGAAAAGATCGCCGGTGCTAATGTAACGTTAGCATTTCTCCCCCGGGCTTAAATGGTGTATTATAGAATGATCAGTGTGTGACAGTACTCTTCAAAGGGTTCACGAAATATGACTACTACTCTTACTGTTTAACATTTTGGGTTACTTGATGTTACTTCATGTTAAGGCTAATAAAAATGACAAGGCTAAGACTGTAATGCTAACTAACGTCCTTGCTACTAGCTAGGTAGCTAACTTGATCCAGCCAGCCACTCCTGGTCCTTTCATCAGACGGGAAGCGAAAGAACGAGCAAGACCCATTGCTGGTATGATAACAACCTGGTACTAAGCACACAAGCATCTTGTTAAAGTTATCTTAGCTATCTCTTATATTTAGCGGAGGAAAACAATTGTGACATCAGTTATGACATCACTTACGCAACTCTGGGATTTGTAGTCTTTCTAGTTGCGTATTTTTTCATAGTCTTATATTTCAACAGTTTTACGACAAACTGTGACTTTTTTGACATGGAAATGATTTTTTAAGATTGACAAACATCATATGTGTAATTCGTGGCACAATTAAAACGGGATCGAAAGATACGTTTTCTCTCTCCATTGACTTCAATACATAATTTTTCCGAAATAAGGTCCCATGGACTTAGTAGACTCTATAAAGCAGGGGTGGGGAACCTTTTTCCTCTCAAGGGCCATTTCAATTTTTACAATATCCTCAGAGGGCCGTACAAATGATTGACCTCTGCTTAAAAAAACTAAAATCACAGCCCACTCATTTCACCTTTCATTCATGCTGTGCAAAGAAAAAGCAACCTCTTAATCCAGATATCTCACCATGACTCGCGCATGCATGCACGTGCACGGTGTGGCGTGACCACCAAAACAGAAAGATATGGACACAAGATGTGTGCAAATGTATTTAGTTTCCTATCCATGTGAACATGATTTAAGTGGGGGGGGGGACCTAACCTCCTCTAGAGGGGTCCGGGGGGCATGCTCCCCCGGGAAGGTTTTTTTTTTAAATGTTGAAGTTAAAAGCATCAATCTGGTGCACTTTGAGATCACAATTAGGAGATCTATGGATACATCTCTCAACACCCATATGAAACAGAACTGGAAGCAGATTTATTTTTCTTTATGAATATTTGACAAATCACTCTCCTTTCAAACTGTATTCTTCTTTATTAATAACAACTTTTTTTTACTGTCATATAGTATTTTATACCTGTTTACTTTATTCTCTTATTTTTTTTATAACTATAATGATCATATAAAGATGTGCCTTTACCTCATTGGTTGTAGAAAAAGCTTCTTATATTCGTTAGCATAGCTAGCTAACCAGATGCTAATAACAACAAAGCTATTGACTGTATGATCAGAATGACAGATGAACAGATCGCCACTGGGCTTTCAACTAAAGACACAGACACGCAGAAACTGCGGCATGTGTACGGCTCCTTATCGGTACTGCAATTTCTGAAGTGCTGGAGCGGCGTTCTGGTGCTCTCCGTCAGAACTGCACCCCTGTCAGTCGAGACATATACCACGTGATGACACGTTAGGCTTGTGTTGTGTTCAGCAACAACATGACCTTGGCCAGGAAAAACAGGCACTCGCTTGTTTAATTTTTTTGCGGTCTAGATTTCTTAAATTTTTTTCTTTTTTGCGTGTGTTTATAAATTACCTAGAGGGCCGTACCAAATTGTCTCGCGGGCCGTATACGGCCCGGAGGCCGGAGGTTCCCCACCCCTGCTATAAAGCTTTAAAAAAAAGGAGGGGGCTGAGCTCACGATGCAGCTACTGTCTAAACGAAATACTGCTGTGATGAAACGCCATATCATGGATTATCAAGGATTATTTCTGAAACAGTATGGAGCTCAAAGGCTTTCTCTCTTGCCGGTTATACCACAAGGTGAGTTCCTTTTTATTTCCAGCTTCTTCACACACATGCTCTGTGCAGTACAGGTAAGCTCTGAGTGTTAGCGATGCTAATGTAAACACTGACCATATTACGTCCAAAACAGTCGGGCATTGTTTCTGATAGCAGCGTTTCTGATAGGGCCGTGGGTGTAAAGCCAGCCTACATTTCCGATATTACGTTATATCGGACGCAAATCTGGATCCGCTCCGTTGTACCCCCGTTTTTAGAGATTTGGGCACGGAGGAAAAGAGAGAGGGTTTTATTTTCTGACGCTGCGTGAGTTCCCTGACACACCGGGGACACATCTTTATGTATAAAAGACATCAAAAAGTGCATTTTGCATAATAGGTCCCCTTTAACTTAAATAAAACAATACGGAATAATTTGTTTCTTTGTGTTTGGATCACCAGGTGGAAAGTATGTCCCCCGGGCAGTGCTGGTGGACTTGGAGCCCGGCACCATGGACTCGGTGAGGTCCGGTCCCTTTGGCCAGATCTTTAGACCAGACAACTTTGTCTTTGGTAAGGATGTTAAACAATTTTTTGCAAGTTTTTGCTTGGGTTGATAAAGTTGGATTTTGATGAATGAGTGGAAAGAGAGTATAACTTTAGAACTATCATTCCTTTCTTGTATTGCTGCCTTGTGTATGCACTGCTCACTGACATTAAATTGTGTTTGCAATTATAACGAAGCCATAATTTTTTGTAGATTTAGGATGTGTCGCCACATGTTATAGAGTTGTGTGTTTGCATGTGACACAGGCCAGAGCGGAGCTGGTAATAACTGGGCTAAGGGTCACTACACTGAGGGAGCCGAGCTGGTGGACTCGGTCCTGGATGTCGTGAGGAAGGAGGCGGAGGGCTGCGACTGCCTGCAGGGCTTCCAGCTCACACACTCCCTGGGTGGAGGGACCGGTTCAGGCATGGGCACGCTGATGATCAGCAAAATCCGAGAGGAGTTTCCAGACCGCATCATGAACACTTTCAGCGTGGTGCCTTCGCCTAAGGTGCTTATAATACACCGATATACATTAACTATTTACCTCATCTTACTTCTGCTTTAATGCTGCTCCCTCTTCCTCCTCTCACTCCAGGTTTCAGACACAGTGGTGGAGCCGTACAACGCCACCCTCTCGGTCCACCAGCTGGTGGAGAACACAGATGAGACCTTCTGCATTGATAATGAGGCGCTGTATGACATCTGCTTCCGCACACTGAAGCTCACCACGCCATCCTACGGAGACCTCAACCACCTCGTCTCAGCCACCATGAGCGGGGTGACCACCTGTCTGCGCTTCCCCGGCCAGCTCAATGCTGATCTGAGGAAACTGGCCGTCAACATGGTGCCCTTCCCCAGACTGCACTTCTTCATGCCCGGCTTCGCCCCCCTGACCAGCCGAGGCAGCCAGCAGTACAGGTAGAGAGACTGTCGGACCCTCAAGCTGTATTTTTACTGTCATTACATAATTTTTACATTGTACTCTGGTTCAATTTCGCAAGGGTTTTCTTGTTTCAGCAAATAAAACTAAAATATTGAATAGCTGTAATGATCACATATCCTTCATTTGTCCCGCTGCGGGGGCTTTTACAATGTGTCAACAGCAAATGGACCCACAATTTGAAATGGTCATATTTTTTAAAATACAATTAACGGACATTTTTGCAAGTTAACTCAACTCAAGTTTGACCTAAATTTCCTTCCGTAATTCCAGCGAGGATGTTTGGCTATGAATGGAATGAGAGTGAAAGGACTAACTGGCACAGGCTACATGTATAACACTCTCACCCTTTTGTCATGCTTTTTCTTTATTACAACACCACATATGTTTTAGTTTTATACCCCCCTAAAATACATGTATATGCTAGTATTTTAACCGCGATTTAAGGCAATTACTTTTTTGAATGGATTGACACCATTTAAATTAACACTTACTGATGGTCGTTCTTCCTGCAGGTCGTTGACGGTTCCTGAGCTCACCCAGCAGATGTTCGACTCCAAGAACATGATGGCAGCCTGCGACCCGCGCCACGGCCGCTACCTCACAGTCGCCGCCATCTTCAGAGGCCCCATGTCCATGAAGGAAGTGGACGAGCAGATGCTGAATGTGCAGAACAAGAACAGCAGCTACTTCGTGGAGTGGATCCCGAACAACGTGAAGACTGCCGTCTGCGACATTCCTCCACGGGGCCTCAAGATGGCCGCCACCTTCATCGGCAACAGCACGGCCATCCAGGAGCTGTTCAAGCGCATCTCAGAGCAGTTCACCGCCATGTTCCGCCGCAAGGCCTTCCTCCACTGGTGAGTGATAGAGGGTTTACATATTTCAAGATTAATTGTTTGGACAATAAATGTCAGGAAAGAGTGAAAGTTATATGCATTTAAGTAATATTTCCTTGTTTCAGGTACACCGGCGAGGGCATGGATGAGATGGAGTTCACAGAGGCTGAGAGCAACATGAACGACCTGGTGTCTGAGTACCAGCAGTACCAGGACGCCACCACTGAGGAGGAGGGCGAGTTTGAAGGCGAAGAGGAGCTGGCCTAGACGCTCAGCCCAACGTTGTCTCTCCCTATGCAACAGTTAGTTGGGGGCTCGGACCGTATGCTAGAAACGCATCATTGTAGAATTATTGACAATTGGCTTTTAATCAATACAACTACAGTTTTAAAGAATCCCACAGTAATTCCTCTGAATGTCGCCCAGTGATAGCAGTTCTTGTCCATCTTTCCTTTTTTCATAAATTGTTACTGTTTTTTCCTGATTTTTTTTTCTTCCTTCCTGCTTTGGATATGAATGTTTTTATCTTGTCTTGTGTCTTCTGTTTTTCATGGTTTATTTGTTATAAAATAGAACGTAACTGAACAGTTCAAAACACTTATCGCTGAACTTAACTAATGCTGTTCGATATGGTGCTTAATTATTTTTGCTAAACAGCTTACACTGAAAGCTATAAATCGTTTCATTCATTGTTCAAATATTCTTAGTGTGCGTGTACTTGGATGTAATAACATAAAATGTGAAGATGGATTTGAATAAAATAATTATGATTTGATGCTACATTGAGTTGTTACTTTTGGCTGAACTGAACTATGACCAATGTTTTATTCACTGAAATTATGTAGTGCTCTTATTTATTAGCTTAATATAACCTGTATGGAAGCCCATTTCTGCCACTCAGGACAACAAATATCCTGTTAGTCGTGTTGAGAAACTAAATAATCACGTGGCATGTTTAAATAGTGAGACCGTTTCTCAATATATTTATAATGGTAATTACTAGGGCTGTCAAGTTAACGCGTTAACGCAACAAAAATTAACGCCACTAATTATTTTAACGCGATTAACGCATGTGTATTTTTTTTCCTCGGCCGCCCCGTAGTTTCAGAGCGCATCGAGTTTAAAATACCATCTACAAGCTGATGCTGACAGCCCCGCTCCTGCCGCCCGCTTGTGGCAGACCACACTTCCACGCTCACCGACAGGCCATCTGGAGGACCGGGAGGGTGTGTATGTGTGGCTCGAGTGAGCGAGAGAGAGACCTTACGTGCATTGTTGTTGTTAGCATCTGGTGCTAGCTAGCTGCGCTAACAGATATAAGGAGCTGCTTAAATGAAAACAGAGGAGCGACATTTCGCCGACAACTGCGCCGAGCACTTGACTTTATGCAGGAAGCCAGACAGTGGGACATTGTACGAGAAGTCAGCACACTCAGCACGGATAGTGCAACATGATTGCAGCGTCCAGGCAGCTCCCGTTCGAGCATATGCCTTGAGTTGCACATAGCTCCAACGATCCATCTCTCACTCACACACACACACACACACACACACACACACACACCATTTTTATTGTATTAGGTTCCAGGTTGAATTGGGGCGAATATTTGTAATGTTCAGAAGTTGTTGTGTTTAATATTCATGAGAATATTTGTCATTGTTCAAATGATAATAAACATTAGCATAAAGCATATTTGTCCACTCATATGTTGATAAGAGTATTAAAAACTTGAAAAATATTCCTCTAAGGTACATTTAAAACAGATCAAAAATGTGTGAATAATTTGCGATTAATCGCGATTAACTATGGACAATCATGCGATTAATCGCGATTAAATATTTTAATCGACTGACAGCCCTAGTAATTACATGTCATTTGTTAGACGCTTTTATCCAAAGCGACACTATCCCCACAGGAGCAATTTGGGGTGAAGTGTCTTGCCCAGGGACACAACGACATGCTGACTCTAGTGGGACTCGAACTTACTCTATCCACTTAGCCACAGCCGCCCCGATTAAATTGCTAGGACATAAACTTCAATAGCCGTTATCATTAGGCCCTATAAGTTGTAAAATACACCAAACGCAAAGCGGAGAGTCCGTATATGACTAGAAAATGCGTGCGAATGCTGTAAACTGTGAACATTTGTGGCTGAAAATGCAGAAAAAGCTGAATATGTTATGAGCTGAATGGTAGCTGCTTTTAGCTACAAAAACCAAGTAAGTGTGTTGCTGAACTTAGCGGAGAAATGCAGAAAAGTGAAATGATTTGAATCAAATTGTTACAGCTCAAATGCATTGCAATGACTGTTGAAAACTTGAAAGTGAAATGTTAAACTGGAAGAGTAGGAACAATAGTGAAGAAGCTTAATGTTGAAAATAAAAGGTTTAAAAAAAGGTATAAACAACATGTATAGCCTCAATGTCCTGAAATAGCTGAATAATGTAATAGTTTAATAGTTCTCATTCATAACACTCCGTTCGATGTCTCACTATGGGATACGCCCAGTGCTTGAATTGGAATGAAAAAGGTGCCAGTACTCTAAAATCAGCAACTTTTTCAAGTCAATTTTATATATACAGCCCACAAACAAGAATTTGGCTACTATAATGCTGGTGGGTTTGTCTCTTTACTACTGTATATTTTAGAAAGGTTCACCGTACTTAACATTTGTTATGATAGGCAGCGGATATGGCTAAAGCTCAGTAAGGTCAATATTAACTGAAAATATAGCAATCAAAGTCTAGATCTTCTGCTGAAGACACATGAAGCAGAGACCTTTCAGGTGAGAGCCCCTCTGTTGGTGTTCAACATTAATGACAAGGAAACAAAGCTCTGGTCAGAAGCATTTTTTATAAAAAGCTTTAACAAAATGAAGTATTTCTGTACATTTTGAATGCAATCTAACTTTCCAACTCAGAAAACGAAAAACGAAAAAGTGCCAAAAGTCTTCTCACATGGCTGAGCTGCTTTGCAATATACTTCACCACTGAAGAATACAAATATGTATAAAGTAAACTATGATGCAATCTAACTTTCCAACTCAGAAAAATGATAAAGAGCATGAACAAAGAACATGTAAAAACAAATGCAAAATTTGCACAATCTAAAATGAGAAACTGTAACTGCAAGTAACAAAGTCTGAGCCATGGTAAAGAGTTACATTGAACACCAAGCTGATCAGATAACTCCCTGGTTGGTCTGAAGTCCTTCTATCTCCAGGATCTGTACAAATCGGCACATTATGCCAAAAGTCTTCTCACTGGGTGAGCTGCTTTGCAATATACTTCACATTGTTAGAAAAGGCTCCAGAAGGCCTTGGGGACATCAGTATCAGGGGCTGGAGCTGGACAGGCTCTTTCATCAGCACTTCTCCTTCCCTTTGCCAGCCAGGACCTCACATACTGTTCCGGATTGAACTGTCCTAGTGATGGTCCATTACATTTAATGAAAACCAGGCTGGACAGTCGGCTGACAGAGAGAGCATTCCTTTTTGCAGTAAGGATATCGTTCATGCAGCTGAATGCCCGCTCACACTCACTAGTGGAGACAGCGATGGTTCGGACTGCTTTCAGTAGAGGCTCCATGGCAGCAGGTGTACGGGATGCCCTGGTTTCCTTGTATTCGCGAAAGCCCTGAACAGTCTCTCTTCTGTCCACTTTCAGCACTTCGCACAAACGTAGCACCTCTACGTCCCCATACTGTACGTCTAACTCCTCTTCAGGCCAACTTCCAGGATGGATAACTTTCATGTCCTGGATTAGCTGATTGTCCCGGGCCTCCCGGCCATGTAATGGGATTTCTCTTGTGCTGACATGAGAGGAGGTTGTGGAAGTCATTCTGTGTCTCAGATTCTCTACCATACTGCGGAAAAACTGACCTGCATGAATCTGTACAAGCCTGCCATTCTCACGCAGGGCAACACCCTTGAAGGACTTCTCAGCTAGAGCTGTATGAACTGTAGTCATGTGTGGGCCAGGCATGGTGACCATGGATTCAAAAACTCGTATTTCTCGAGTTAAGAGCCTATCTGCTGTAGGCAGTGTCATCTCTCTTTTTTGGAGTTGCCGAGAGAGGTCGCTGAGCTCTGTGAGCGCATCGTACATCAGTCCCAGATTGCTGACAAACGTTGCAGATGTGAGCACATCATCCAGGCCCTTGTACTTTGCTCTGTCTCTGGAATCCCTGCTCGTGTCGTTTGCAGCATTTGTGAAGTGATCATGAAGCACTCGGTAGTTTTCCCAGACTGCTCTGACTCTCCTTTCACTTGAAGCCACCCAGCGGATGGACAAAACACGCCCTATCACCAGGAGACGCTGTCCGACTGCTTGCGCACACTGCGCTAACTGCCTCTGATTTTTGGGGGAGGCATGGAACAAGGAATAGAGTTTGTCAAAAAAGATCTGGAAATGATTGAGCCCTGAGACCTCCTTGACCACATCCCCAACTGCCAGCTCTAGATGATGATTGGAGCAGTGCCACACAAACAGGCTTGGGAATTTACTACACAACTGAGTAGCAACGCCTGTTCTCTTCCCTAGCATGACTGAAGCCCCATCACATGCAAAAGAAACGAAACACTGACCTAAAAAGTCCTCGTTAAAATCTCTTCCAAGACACTCCATTAACGCCTTTGTGATGTCATCAGCCGTTGTTCCATCCAACTCGATCAGCTCCCAAAAAAACGTTTCGGGCTCAGCATCAGCTAATGCTGAGCGTAGACACACAACAAGCACCGTTTTACCACTAATAGTGGTAGATTCATCGACCAAAACACAGTTTTCTTTGGTTTTCTGTAATGTCTTTTGCCATTTTTTTCTTCAGCTCATGAGCTATGTGGTCGATGATTTCGCCACAGGTTTTATTGGAGTGCAAAACCCTGCCCACGTTCAGCCCATTCAGTTTCTGTACATTCAAATCAATTGGCATGTCTGTGAATGGCCGGCTATGTTTGCCAATTTTATATGCCGTTCGAAAAACTCTGATAGTGGTGTCTAATTCAGATTTATGCATAGACTGCACTTGATGTTGAATAGTTTCATGTGAAACAGATGTAAGGATGTCAGCAGCTTTTACATGGGCTTGTGATTCTTTATGTTCTTTGATTTTTTTTCTCAGGCTAGCTTGTTGTTTGCCCTTGTCAACACCGAAATGAGACACTGCACACTCACCCCATTCAGTTGACAGTTTCAGTCCTTGTCCAGTGTGTATTCCCAAAGATTTGACATCTCTGCATATCCGACATCCTAGCTTCTTATCTTTAAGAAGGAGCCATGCATTGGTCTTGCAAAAATATTGCACCTGGTCCGTTGTCCAGCAGTCAGGTGCATCGCTTTGCCCGGTGTTGGTGGTGGCAGTTGCGCCAGCAGCAGCTAACGTTAGAGGCTCTGGAGGAGGCGGCGGAGCTAGTGCTAATGCTAATGCACTAGAACTTGGAGCAGGAGGGTCAACCAAAGAAAGCTCCCCATCAGACACAATTTCCAACACAGGCACAGTATTCTCTGTATTTGAAGTTTCTTCCGGCGACAACCGCTGTCTTTTTGCACTTTTATTAATCCACTCTAACATTTTAGAAATGCTAATTTGTGACGTTACTTGCTTTCCTTCTTACGGGGGCGTGCCTGCTCTGTTCTATCACTCTACATAGCCACCCACTGGGTGGGAGTTGCACTGCATAAACACAACACACGTGCATCTAGGTATGTAAATTGTAAAGCATTAAAACATGGTTTTACTAACAGTTTTCAGTATGTTGTTACTTCGGCATTATTATTATTACT